TTTAATACCTTGCTTCCTAGTATATCTCTTTAATTGAAAACTACTTATTACTTTAGTCTAAAGAAGGTGGGAAAATTGCACTGTACAAATGAACAGTGTTTTGAACCACATTTCAGTTTATTTACAAGATTGCCACCACCTCTTCAGTTTCAGATTGAAATTTTCGATTTATTTGCGAAATTGCCATCCTTCAGCGTGCACATGTTGACCATCGTAGAAAGGGTGGGGGTGGGGGTGGGGGATGGAAGCAAACCCGATTTTGTTCCAAAGATTTCTTCAACGACAAACTCATTTTGCTCTAGAGCTCTTCAACGACAAAGTTGATTCGGCGCCTCACCGTCGCACACCTCGCCTTCCCTTCACTGTTGCACACCTCGCCTTACCTCGTTGCCGCACTCCTAACCATACCTTGAATCAATGGTAACATGCCAATTGTATATATTTTTTGTCAATTTTTATCATTATTCTGGAAATTAAGGTTTGATCTAAATTTGGTGTGGCTGTGCTTCAGCCAAACTCACGAATTAGGCTGAGAGGGAGATATATGGGAGGAATTGTGGACAGATTACAGGAAGAGAGGCGTGGGCTGGCAGGGAGGGGAACGAAGAAGGAGAAGTGAGGCTGCCAAAAAGGGGGTTATGGTTGATTTTTTCTCCTCAAATCAATTGTTGGTGTCGGTGATTGACGAGCATTGATTAGAGGGGAACTTTCATTTCCTTTGTTTGTTAACCAGAATGGGGTCGATGGGACCATGCTCTGTTGCACGTTCAGATGAGTGATTTCAGGGATTTGGGGGCAGAGAGAGTGATTTTAGGGATTGGTAATCCCATCTCATGTTTTCCCCTCATATCTGTCACGCTCAACCTCTCTCTATTCCTTTCTCTTTCATTCTCTTTCAGACTCTACCCTTCTCCCAACTCTCAATCTCTCTCAACTTTAGTGCTAACCCTAATTTGTTCTTTCTTTCCTTAATTTTCTCCATCCAAGCAATGAAAATTCGAATTGAGTTTTCAGATTATTGATGCTTCACGGATAGAGAATGGAGAGAGTTGATTGAGGGAGTTGGTGAGTATGAGCTTGCACAGAGGGAAGAACGCAGAAAGAATGGGAGAAAACGATTACACAGAGACAAGGAGAGAAACAGAGAGAGAGATTGCAGAAAGAGGAGGATGACGAAAATTGAGGAGGAACCCATGTCTACAGAGAGTAAGTTCTGAACCAAAGCTTATTTTCTCTAATTTTTGGCTAACAAATTTCTGAAGCGGAAGAATCAAGGAACCTTGCGTTTAGAATTTAATCCTGTTGATGCATAAAACTGGAGGTCTTGGAACAACGTAAATCCGACCGTGAATCTGCAAGAAATGTAAATAACACAAGATGTATCGTGGTTCACCCCAAGGTTTGGGCTACCTCCACACTGATTGTATTTCTCTGAGAGTAATTATGAGGGAGAGAGTGTGAGAGCTTTTGCTAGAGGCTTAGGGTTTGTGAGGGTGAGGAGGCCCTTTTATAGAATAAGGGCTCCTTCTCTAATTACATATTTGCCTATTTTTTATTACATAATTACATTTAAGTCCCTCGAGTATTTATACGAGGTCTAAATACGAGGCCCTAAATATGGTATAAACAGTAGTCCCCTAAGTCTTCAGTCAAGAAAGTCTCTTGGCTAGAGACTTGAAATTCAGTCCATGTATGGGTCGAAGTAACTAGATGTTGTCTTGAACTGATGCTCGATATGAGGCAGTGCTCAATCTGAAATGACGCTCAACTAGAAGTAGCACACGCTGTGAGGCTGCTCGGCTCATGGCTTATGTTGCCTTGGTTAGCTCGGCTTGTGGCGTTTGAAGGTAAGGGAGTCCATTTTATAGAATAAGGGCTCGCTCCTTAATACATGAATGATGGGCTAGAGTTGATGCTCTCTAATGATGGTGAGGGAGTCATTTTTATAGAATAAGGGATCGTTCCTCAATACATAAATGATGGGCTAGAGTTGATGCTCGCGAGGAGGCGGTTGCTCAGTAGGCAGCGATGCTCTCTAATGGTGGTGAGGGAGTCCCTTTTATAGAATAAGGGCTCACTCCTCAATACATAAGTTATGGGTTAGGAGTGACGCTCGCGGCTAGGCGGTTGCTCAGATGGCGGCGTTGCTCTTTAATGATAGTAAGGGAGTCCCTTTTATAAAATAAGGGCTCACTCCTCAGTACATGAATAATGGGTGCTCTCTAATGAAAGTGATGGAGTCCATTTTTTAGAATAAGGGCTCGCTCCTTAATACATAAATAATGGGCTAAGTCCCCTAAGTATTTTTCATGAGGCCCAGTTGAGGCCCAATATATGGTACATAATGTAGTCCCCCAAGTCTTCGGTCAATAGAGTCTGTTGGCTGGAGACTTCAAATTGAATCCATGTATGGGCTGAAGTGACGGTTGTTCGGAGGCGGTATTTGTATACCCTGCACTGAAGCTTTGTAGGTGAAACTTTGCAAGTGAAGCTTTAAAGCTAGAGCTTTGTAAATGACGCTTTTGAAGCTAGAGCTCTGTAAATGAAGCTTTTGACATGAGTGATGCTAATGAATGTTTATGTTGATTGACATGAGTGATGCTCATGGATGTTGACATGAGTAATGCTCATGAATGTTTATGTATGATTGACATGAGTAATGCTCATGAATGTTTATGTATGATTGACATGAGTAATGCTCATGTATGATATGAAGTACTGGGTGTACTTTTGATCACCTGGTTGGTGGCATGAATGAGAGTACAGGTTGTACATTTCATCATCTGGTTGGTAGCATGAATGGCTAGTTGCCAAATGATATTAAAGTACGGGTTGTACATTTCATCACCTGGTTAGTGGTAATAGCGGCAGGTTGCCGAATAATTTTTGGAGTAATGGGCGTACTTTTGGTCACCTGGTTGGTGATAATAACGGCGGGTTGCAGAATAATTTTGGAAGTACTGGGCGTACTTTTGATGATCTGGTTGGTGGTAGTAGCGGCGGGTTACCGAATAATTTTGGAGTACTGGACGTACTTTTGGTCACCTGGTTGGTGATAATAGCGACGGGTTGCCAAATAAATTTTTGTGGTACTGGACTGACTTTGGTTCATCTGGTTGGTGCCATTTTGGGCTTATGGACATTCGCACGACATTCCAGCCCATTTATTTTGGGCTTTGCCTTTTCTTTTTTTTTACCCTCTGATGGGGTTTAAACAGATATCTCCGAAAGATAAGAAAAATAAATTACATCATTCAAAAACATTGCTGTAGGTGGGTATGGCAGATGGTTGGATAATGGGATAGTATATGCACAATTGAAGGTTGGGTAGTGGAATGGTAGATGGCTGCAGAAGCTTTTGCTTTACTTTTTCTTTTTCTTTCTGCTTTTCCTTTCTGCATGGTCCACGAGTCCCCTGCGATTATCCCTGGTCTTCCGCAATTATATCTGTCTACCCATGTTTTATGGCCTTTGAAGACCACTTGACTTTAAGCTTTTAATTGCCATTGCTTTCCTTGCTTTTCTCTAGAATGACAATTGCTTGGACAGACACCACCCATTTGCTTTTATCTCTCTACTCCGAAATTATTACATCCATTTTCTCTGGCAGGATAACATCCTCCATGGAGCCCTCAATCATCTCATCCACTTTCTCCATCAGCTTTTTAGTCTCTCACTTCCTCTAAATTTCAGAAAAGCATTGATAAAGCTTTATAAGGCCTGCTCTGCTTAAACCCGGAACCGCCTTCCCCACTTTCGGTACCTCCACCTAATTTTTTCAAACCATCAGCTGGGTTCTTGGTAAAAAAAAGAAAAAAAAAACTCATCTTCATTGTGGAACCCGCCGGCAAGTCCATAGCTTCGGCTAGGAGCTGAGTGAAAGACCTGAAATCCGACTCAGGGTAGGTGTCGCCCCAGATCCGCCGCTGAAAAGGGGTTCTGCGGACGGTACTGGTCTTTACGTCGACAGCAGCGGCGATGTTGAAACTGTGACTTTGTCAGAGTTTTGGGTTTTGGAGGCTCAATTGGTTGGGCCTCGGCGTTGCAGGTTTTGCCTCGGATTTACGATGAGAGAGAAACAGTCTCAGATGGCTGCGTGTTGGGAAATAACCTCCTCCATGGATCTCTAGGTGTTAAATAGTGTGTTGAGGACGACGGGGGCGGCGCACATGTGGGTGACGTCGTAAATGAGCCCTCATCGGCGTCTTCTTTTCAGCAGCAGCCCATAACATGGAGCTGCCAGTACTCGACGTCATGGAGTAGGTGGTAGGGGGCGCGAGCTCCGTGCGAAAGGGTGAGATCTCGGCGGGGGATGTGAAACCCGATGCCGTACAATCGTTCAGCAGTCGTCCGCGAGACCTCGCCGGAGCTTAATCAAGCTTATGTTGTTGCGTGAGTTGGAGTGTGAGCCTGTCCTCACTTTAGAGGAAATTTGGTATTTCTTGCAGCTTTTGCCTATGGCGGAAAGCTAAAGACGGAGAGAGACTGAGCGTTGACCACGATATTTTTTGTCTCTGTCGATGATGCCATCTCAACAGCCTTCTATAGTTTGATACAGATCAAGCTGCTTTTGTCTTTGTCGTTTTTTTCTTTTCAAAACAGAGATATGGGCTTTTCTGGGTATCTCAGAATTTTGAGAGAGAGAGAGAATGGTGTTCTTGGTTTATTGTGATTTTTACAGATTCACAGTGGAGGTGAAAAAATGAAAGAGAACTGACACAACTTTTCGTATCGATTCCCATAGACGGCGCCAAATGTTGATGTACAAAACCGGAGGTCTTGGAATAACGTAAATCCGACCGTGAATCTGCAAGAAATGTAAATAACACAAGATGTATCGTGGTTCACCCTAAGGTTTGGGATATGTCCACACTGATTGTATTTCTCTGAGAGTATTTGTGAGGGAGAGAGTATGAGAGCTTTTGCTAGAGGCTTAGGGTTTGTTAGGGTGAGGAGACCCTTTTATAAAATAAGGGCTCATCTTCTAATTACATATTTGCCCCTTCCTTTATTACATAATTACATTTAAGTCCCTCGAGTATTTATACGAGGTCTAAATACGAGGCCCTAAATATGGTATAAACAAATCCTAATTTTTTTCTCTTTGCAAGACAAAAAACTACCAGGGAAGGAAGAGACTGTTAGGAAAGTAAAACCCAGACCGAAGAAGACAAGCAATGGTGGAAGAACCAAGGCTGTAGATCTTTGATAAAAGGTATAAATCATTTTCGTTTCTGGTAGTTTGCCATTGCCTAAAAATGTGAAATTTAATATGGTGTTGATGAGTGTGTTTGAAGGCGAAAGAGCTGATCCTGTAATTTGATTGCTTCTCACACTCGAAATCATTTTTGTTAAGTAATGTTTATATCTGCACCGTCTTCTAACTTTTTTATAAATGTTTTAACCCTGATCTATTGTTGATGATCATTTTGTAGCACTAACAATATCATCGCTCTTTCCATTCCTTTATTTTTTGGTGAGTGCTCACTTATTAATATTGTTGTTGCTTTTAGTTTTTAAATTTTATGAAAAAATGCAACCGTCAAACCCTGTTGAAGTGGATTTGGTATCTCAAGATTCCAAATTATTGTTTGCAGATGAGGGATTTGCATATTGCTAAAAGAGAGGAAGACATTGGCTACTGTGCTGGATATGTAGGTGAGTTGATGATTGTCCCTACTTACCTTTCGTATTCTTCACCATTTTGTTCCTTAACAAGTGTCTTACTTTGAAGGGGCTTCATAGATGCTTGGCAGAGTCCTGACATCAATTTTTTGGGGAATGGTGGCTGATATTGACTCAGATGAAGCCCCTATTTATATATCCTATTCATTTTTATGTTCTATCTTTTCTGACTTGGATGATGTTGATTGAATGAATGAGTTAGAAACTGAACAAATCAAATGGATGAGTTAAAAGCTGAAAATTACATTAGTTTCTTGCTGCTTTTTATGCTGAACAGATTTTGTGTATGTGTAGTGCTTTATTTTTAGGGTTATTTCTCTCAACACCATGTGAACGTACAAATGGTTCTTTCCCAATTCAACCAATTTAAAAATTGGGATTTTAATTGATGTTCGTCCATGGTTCCTTACTTTCCAGATGCATAAATTCACCTGGAAATTATTCATGACAATGTCCCAAAGGATACAAACATGAAGGCATGGATGAAAAGAGTTGTATAAAAGACAACAAATGGTCAAAGGCCATTCTCCTCATTATTTCATTAGGTATGCATGTTTTTTTTTCACATGTTAATATATAGCATATACGAGCCTAAATTTATTTTATTGGAGCCACTTTTGGATCCAAAATTCTCATAAAGTATGTCATTGATGAAAGTTATATTCTGGTGTCTTTTAGTGATCTTCATGTTTTTCGTACAAAATAAGATTGTTAGCTTTCTATGGTAAGCAGTATTAACTATCAGGGATTTGTTTTCATATTGCATGAAATTTCCACTTTTTTCATCTTTGAATAGTCTCAAGCATGGTAAATAGAATAGCACTAGAAAGTGAGGAAATCCACTTTCTTTGGTCAGGTTGGATTCTCTACTATGACTACCATTTTTAATGGGAAGTGTTAAATACATCCTATAACATGACTGACTAACAAGCATGGTTGTTCAGATATACATGCAATTAAGATCTCTGACTAAATCAGATTTCTTTTATATTGAAGCAAATCTTGCCTATTAGGTGTTCATGAAAATTCCCCAGAGAGTTAGAAACAAGGATATGATGCAAATCTGAATGTAGGCTGTTTTGGTATGTGTGTGTGTACGTATAGGGGTGTTATATTGATATGACATGCTGCCTAATTTATCTATTTTTCGATTGTTAGATCAAAGAAGGAAGTTCAATTCATCAAGGATCAAGGTTTGGACTACTAGACAGCATGCTGACTTCGGTTAGAGGTATGGAAGTCTCGAGCTTGCAATCTTAAATTTCTGGTTCCCAAATAAGAAATATGCTCTATTTGATCCCGAATAAGAAATGACATAGGTATGTGGGTTCCATCGTTATTAAGTTGTATCATTTTCTACTTAGGTTACAAAAAACCATTATAATGAATTAATCATTTTTTTATTCTAAGGAAGTATGTATTCAACATTGTTTTTTTTCTGAACAATTTCAATCAATATAACTATGACCATTTGTCTACTATTTTATATCTTCTGTTCTTTTTCCTTTTTGTAGACTCTCCTTGCCATGTTGGTCTCTTGCTGCTAACTGATTTAGTTGGGGTATCTTAAAAGAGTGCTGTCTTTACAGAGTCTTTTTTGTTTTTTTTTTTTGTTTTTTTGTGGGGTTATTTTTTACGGTGGGGATATTCCTTAATTTTTAAAGTGAGGAAGATTTAACAACGCATTTTTTTGTTTGTTTGGTGGTGTTACTTTATGAATTTGTAGTTAGGGAGATTTAACAATGCCTTTTTTTGTTTGCTTTACTTTGTTAGTCTTGATAAGCGCATGTTCAACAACAGGTTGTTGAAATGATCACTTATATAGCCTCTACTGCAAAACAATTTCCTAAGAAATGTGTATTACTTTGTCTTCTAGATGAGCGTACTCTAATTTAGATTAGACATCAAGACTTGAAGCTTGGTTTGTTTTCTGTGTCTCCTTCACTGTATCTGAAAAGTGGATGAACAGGTAGATGTCAACTCTAGCATTTAATGGTGTTGTGCACTTTGATAGGTACATGTGAATGGCTCACAGGGTTTTTCTGATTCTGTAGGTCCAGGATTTATTTTTGAAAGGGCAAGTATGGTGTGATTATTTTAATTCTCATCTTCAGTGCAAAAGTTGTGTGCAAAGTTTTTATTTACAGTTTTATTCTTCTGTATGCATTATGTTTATCTTCAAGTAAAGGTTGCTAATATTTTATTTATGAGTGTGTGCTGCTCGGTCTCCATTGATTGTTTATCTTTTTCGAGGGTATAAAGGGGAGGAAAAAATGCATTCCAATACCTCAGAATTCAACCTCCACCAAATTGTGAGGAATCCAATTCCTCCAAATTTTGGAGTTGGATTCCAAAATTTGCATGGTCTCCCAAATTTTTGATTCCCCAATATTGGGTAAACACCGGAGTAGTCCGTAATTGACTTTCAATTCCATTTTTTTGTTCTGATTACCCTTACATAAATGTATTTATGATATTTTAGTTTCAAGCCCAACTGTTGTTGCAAAATGTGCTATAGATGGAGCAACCAATGTCTTTCTTACTTATTCTTGGGCTCTTCTATCTTTATGTGAGGCATTTTGTACTACTACTTTTGTAACATTGGGATGTTTCAAGATTTATGACTATGTGCATTCTCTCTTTCTGCACACTTTTTCTTCCCTCGCTCCCTCTCTCATGTAGAGCCATTTTATGGTACAATGCGTTTATCGGTTCTCATGTCCAAGTTTTTTTTTCTGCTTTCAATTAAGTTTTGTTTGTATGTTATGTTTTCAAGGAATCTTTTGCACATATTTCAATTACGTTGTACTTGAATGTCCTGAACTCAAGTCATTCAGGATTTTTTTTTTTGGTTGAAACCATTGAATTTCATTGTACTTGAATGATATAGATGTGGGGATTACATTTACATAAGGATTGATTTTAACCATTGAATTTTATTTCATTTTTCCTTGGAGCTTGAGTAACAAGATCATCAAATTCTTATATTCGTTATTTGTGAGAATAAATCTACATGCATAACAATATTGTTACACTTCTACTTTTATTGGGTTTTTATACATTTTGTGTGTTTGCTTAGTCTTGTCTTGGAGTTGGATCCACTTTGTATAATGGATTGTGATTTGTTTGAAAATATCTTTAGTGATGATTTTGAGTATAATGTGTTTTTGTAATACTGTTTTTCTCTCCCTTTTGTAATCTAGTCGTGCAGAAGACATCTCCATTAACCGGTAACAGATGAAATTGTTTGCTGTCGAGGTTCCCGTGCAAAAGAGCGAAAATGCTGCAAGTGGAGGATAGATAATAGCTCAAGACACATGGTATGAGGGTGTAGATAAACTGTAAATATGCATCTGAAAAAGTTAAAAGTTAAGGCGGGGTTGGTTGTAGCTTCTCCTTCTCGCCACAATAGAAAATACTTTTGAACTGCATTAAGCTATTAATAAATTAAGCTTAAGCTATATTTTACTTATCAAGAATGGGTAAACTGTTTTAAATAGGAAAATTAAGTGCTTATATCAGGTAAACAATCAATTTTACAAAGTTTTCTAGTAAATTAGATATATAGTTTAATTCGAAGAGTTGTATTGACCTTTACTTTTGTTAAATTATATAGTTTAATTGCGTCCTCTTTTTCCAATCCCTATATATCTGCTCAACTCTTGGGTCAATTATTTACCAGTAGGAATGTTTAATTGCTTGATCAATGATGTTGATTCAATTTGAAGAAGAAATAGGACTTTTGTCCAATAGGGATTTGAAATAGGGATTGAGACTCTCACATATGAGTGAGATGTCCCAATTGTTCATTGATTCTAGGTGCTACGTCTTTTTAGTTGCTTTGTGCGAAAACTATTCATCTCTGTTGCGACTAATACATTCAAGTTCCGCTGCAATGCGCCGGCATATTTTCTCGTTTTCTTATCTATTTAAAGATTAAAATTGAATGAACAAACAAATGCACCTAACTTTAGATTTAAAATAACCCAGTATAAATTAAAGAAAACTCTCATCTCTGTGTTACACTTATCATCTATTTACATTTTACACTATCATTTATACTATCTCTCTAATATAGGTAAGGTCAGTTAACACATGTGAGTTCCATCTTTATTAAAGAGACAATACAAAAATAGTATAAATAAACAGTAAGAATAGCAATTTTTTATTGTAATTAAATATGCATGTTATAGGTACTCTCCCTAGGCTTCATTTTCTTATTTGTACACACACACACACACATATATATATATGAACTCTATCTCTCTCTCTCTCTCTCTCTCTCTCTCTCTCTCTCTCTCTCTCTCTCTCTCTTCTTCATCATAATACATTTCACGGAACAATCTTGTAAGCCTTCATCTTCTTAATCCACGAAATGAAAGACTTTTGGGAATTCCTGAACCCCAAAAAGCCATGCTCTTTGCTCTTATTCATATTGTCCAACACACCCTCCCCACCAAACACAAAGTCAACAAATCACCACGCTCATTCTCCCTCACAATCTCATCCCATACACCGACTTTTGTAAACGTGAGTCTTCAAAAATAAGTATGTAAATATATTGTAAATATTAGGAATCCTTTTTTGAGAAGGATTATTTGTTGTGTCCTTTTTAATTTTAGTTTCCTTATAGAACAAGGATTGTATTTGTATATATTTCAAGGAAGTAATACAAGGAATTATCCCGTAAAAAATTCTATTTGGCATCAAGAGCCAGTGTTGCCGAAACCCTAGTTTTTCTGCTGTGCTTGGTTGGTTGTTTTTCTACAAATCTTCTGCAGAAAACAGTGTTGTCGTGTGTGTGTGTGCTCTTGCTGGCGTGTGCAGCAGTGTGGGTGGTGTTGTGTGTGGTTGACTGATCTTTGCACAGTGTCGTGTATGTGTGGTATTGCTGCTTGCGCAGCAGTGTGGTGACTCATCGTCAGTTTTGCTGTTTCTGCCGTGTGTGTGTGTTTTTTTTTTCTGCACAGTGCCATGTGTGTGTGGTAAAGCCGAATGGCATCAGAAAGAGGCAGTGGCGTGTTGAAGTTGAAAGGCAATAACTCAACCAATAATCCAGTATTGAATCCTGTCGTCATTCAAAGTGATGCGTCTGCTGTACCAAACACCGTGAAATTAAATAGATCAAATTATCCTCTTTGGTCCAAGGTTTTGGAGATGCACATCGCTGAACGCGGTAGGAAGGGCTTTGTGACTGGGAGTACCAAGGAGCCTGTTGAGGATAGTGCTGAATATATGACATGGGAGACAGGGAATGCAATAGTAAAATGGTGGTTAATCAATTCCATGGAACATGCTATCATGGGATTTTTTATTCACCTGCGTACTACGAAAGAAGTTTGGGAAGAGGTGGCTCGGATGTATTATGATGGTTCAGATATTTCTCAAATTTATGAACTGAAGGTTAAATCCTTCAGACTCCGTCAAGAGGGCCGGCCATTTGGTGTGTATTATGCTGACCTCAAGTCCGTTTGGCAGGAGTTAGATCAAAGGAGACCAATCAAGATGGAGTGTGTTGTGGATCTCAAGACCCTTCGAGAAGAGATTCAATTGTTGTGGATCTCAAGACCCTTCGAGAAGAGATTCAAATTGATCGTGTGTATGCTTTTTTGGCGGGTTTGGATGATATCTTTGATAAGGTACAGAGTGATATTCTACGTACTCATCCCTTACCATCTGTTGAGGAAGTGTTTTCTGTTGTTCGGCGTGAAGCACAACGACATGCTACTATGATGGTGGAAGTAACAACCAAGGTGGGCCGTCGTCCATAGCCATGATTTTTTAGCCAGCTGCTGTCCCTCGTCCTAATAATTCTTCTAATCACTCTTTAAATTCTCGTCCCTTCAACCGAGAAAATAAAGATGATTTGAAGTGTACTTTCTGTGGACAAACCCGTCATACTGAGGATACGTGTTTTGCTAAGCATGGGGTGCCTGATTGGTTTCCAGAATTGAAGAAGAAATTGCATGCAAATGAGCGTGGAAGTGCAGGGAACAATGGAGGTCGTGCCTCCCTAGCTACAGCCCCACAATCAGCAAAGGAGGCCGACACTCCTGGTAATGACCCGAGTCAATCCTTGCTGACTCGTTCTACCCATGGTGACTCGTCCTCCACCGCAGGTACTGTAGGGCATGGTCTTTTGGCCGCTGATCCTAAGCATCATACATGTTGGATTCTGGACTCTGGTGCAACGAATCATATGACATGTGATAAGAATATGTTTCAATGTATGACAACATCTCACAGGGAATATATAGCCACCGCCAATGGTACCCGTGCTCCTGTTATTGGTGCTGGCACCGTGTATCTCACGGCCTCTCTCCCTTTACACCGATGTTTACTTGTTCCATCTTTATCACATCATTTACTGTCTATAACACAAGTTACTGAACAATTGGATTGTGTTGTTTTAATGTATCCGTCCTTTTGTCTACTTCAGGATATTCAGACCAAGGAGATAATTGGGCGTGGCACTAAGAGAGAGGGGTTGTACTATGTGGATGATGTCGTTCCTGGCAGAGCTCATGCAGTACGAGTGTTCCGTGATAGTAATATACAAGAAGTATGGTTATTGCATCGTCGATTAGGGCATGCATCCTTTAGATATTTAAGGCATATGGTGCCTAGTTTATTTAGTGGAATAAATGAATCAGACTTACATTGTGCATTATGTATTCTTGCTAAAAGCCATCGTGCTTCGTTTCCTCCTAGTATGAATAAAAGACCTTTTCTGTTTGATCTTGTGCATTCCAATGTTTGGGGGCCTTCTCCAGTTACTACTTCTTCGGGAATCCGGTGGTTTGTTACATTTGTTGATGATTGCACTCGTATGACATGACTTTATGTGTTGAAAAATAAGAGTGATGTTAGTGACATATTTCGGTCATTTGCTCAGTTGGTTCAGACACAATATTCTTCTGTTATCAAGGTTCTCCGTTCTGATAATGGCGGAGAATACATCAATTCTGAGTTGTCGGGTTTTCTACGTGATCAAGGGATCCTCCATGAAACTACGTGTCCGCATACTCCGCAACAAAATGGGGTTGCAGAGCGTAAGAATCGCCACATTTTGGAAACAGCCCATACCTTGCTCCTTGGGGCCTCCGTTCCTCCCCGTTTTTGGCCTGAAGCAGTTACATATGTCGTGTATGTTATTAATCGTATGCTTTCTCGGGTGGTTAGTTTTCAAACGCCTTTTCAAGTCCTCACACAACATGCTCCCGTGGTGTCACGTAATACTCTCACCCCTCGAGTCTTTGGTTGTGTGGCTTATGTTCATATTCAGAAAATACATCGTAGTAAATTAGATCCGTGTGCATTACGGTGTGTCTTTCTGGGTTTTTCTTCTCACAAAAAGGGGTATCAGTGTTACCATCCTGAAACCCGGCATATGTATGTAACCATGGATGTGACATTCTCTAAAACAGAATATTTCTACACTTCGGTACCTTCTACTTCAGATCACCAGGGGGAGAATAATATTGTTGGTAATCTGAGTTGGTTGGATCTAGAGGGATATGTGATTATTGAACAGCGTGTAGGACCGGGAATTGTTGGTGCCGAATGTACAGAGAGTACCGAGTGTGTTGACAACTCAGATGATGGTGGTGATTTGACCGAGCCCATAAGAGAGCCTCGGCTAGAGGCTCGGCTAGCTAGTGCCGAGGAATGTCCTAGTGCTCAACAGTCCATTGCCGAAGCCACTACACTTGTTCTTGCTGAGTCCAGTACGCCCTCTCTCTCTAGTTCCAACGTGACGCCCAATACGTCTTCTTTGAATATTCCTGAGGTAAGTATTGTAAATGATTGTGTAACTGATCCAAGTAATAATGTGAGTACTTATAAATTCCACTAAGACAAAATCGAGGTGTGCCTCCTGATAGGTTTTCTCCTGAAGGGAAGGTGAAGTATTCGATAGCCAATTATGTATCATGTAACAACGTCAGACCTTGGTGAGCAATATGGAGTCTATTCAAGTACCAACTCGAGTGGAGGAAGCTCTAAAAGATCCAAAGTGGGCGAAAGCAATGGATGAGGAGATGTTGGCATTACAGAAAAATAATACTTGGGAGGTGATGATGCTACCCGCAGGAAAGAAGATCGTGGGATGTCGATGGGTATTTACAGTTAAATATAAGGTTGATGGAACGGTCGACAGATACAAAGCAAGGTTGGTGGCTAAAGGGTATACTCAAACATATGGGGTGGATTATCAAGAGACTTTCTCCCCAGTTGCCAAGATGAATACGGTACGTGTTCTTATCTCTTTAGCTGCAAATATGGACTAGCCATTAAAACAGTTTGATGTGAAGAATGCGTTTCTCCATGGAAATTTGGAGGAAGAAGTATATATGGATTTTCCTCTTGGATATAGCAATGGTGGGAATACTGGAGTATGTCATTTGCGTAAGTCACTTTATAGGCTTAAGCAATCGCCTCGTGCATGGTTTGATAGATTTACTCAAGTGATGA